TTGCTCACCAAGTGGTCCTGAGCGGGACGTTGAGCATTCGAGTACCTGTCTATCTATCTATCACTCATGCAGGCATCTGTCTGTCTAGCAGTCTTGTAGGCATCTATCATTCATGAAGATATCTGTCTGTCTATCAGTCATCTTGACAACTGTTATCCATCTATCAATCATGTAGACAACTGTCTATCCCTCTATCACTCATGTAGGCATTTTTTATAGCGACTATATCATCTGGGCATTGATCCCACACTTTTCCTTGTGGTACTGCACCACCATTCAAGGTCTGACTATTAACCTATATGGGCTACTCACTATGGCAATGTTTGTCTCAGTTGGCAATTCAGTGCTGTGCTGACATCCATTCTCTTTCCCCTCCTGTTTCTCTGCAGTTGCTCCCAAGGGCCCCAAAATCATGATGACCCCAACGAGAGCCCGCGTTGGAGACACAGTTCGGATCTTGGTGCATGGCTTTCAGGTCTGCAGGCTTTTTATCCTCATAGCTGCTTTCGGTTGCACTGACAGATGGTAATACGTCTCCCTATGCAGATTTATGAAGACTGGCAAAGGCGCAGATTGGGGGTGGGGGGAGGGGTTTAGTTTAGTTTGACTTTAGGATTTTATTTTATTTTTTTCCCCAGCAGTCAGGCCCGCAACTGAGCTGCTCATTTTGTTTGCAGGTTCTGCGATTGCACATGCAAAGCAGGGACTTGTGCATACAGACGGGTAACAAGGGCCGTTGGCTTGCAGCGTTCCTTGAGTTGCATGTCCACTCATACTAACTACACACATAAACAAGGCGTGCAATTCCTCATGGATTTTGCATGCTCAATTACACCCTCAACTCTTGAAATTGGCTCTTTTGTCTCCCAGTTCGCAATTGATTTGTTGTCACTTGGAGTTTTCTCTAATAGAAATCACTTCACTAAACAAAGGCCCACGCTTCTCTAGACCTGTGGCCTGGCATATTTATTCTGTAAATGAATAATGCAGTAATTATGAACCTAGCTTGCGACTTAATGGCACAGAGGTGGGTGCTCTCCCTACAGACTAAATATGTGGCTTTTACATCTATGGGATATCTTAACTAGGAAACAAGTTGTGTTCTTAACTCCTTTTGGCTAACACAAGGGAAAGTCCTAGTGAAGAGAAGGCAGTTTGTGGTTTTAACACATGTTGGCAGGTCGGGGCAATGCTTTGACCTGCTAACGCCTACAATAATTACAGTCTGCCTTGCCTTCGCTGGGATTTTAGCTTGTTAGTTACCACATGTTAGATGATCCGAGTTAAGAACACAGCTTTTTTTCCTGGAGCAGACAAGCATTAAGCGCTAGTATTTTGTTATTATGGGACAGATTCTCTATGGTCTGACACCTGGTGCAGCCCTTCTCATTTGTGCAAAGGGGTTGTGAAGCGCCCCCCCTCTCCTCCCCAATCTTCCTCTCGTGAGTGGTAGCATTTCAGACCCACCCGTCATGGACAGACTCAAGATGCAAAGCACTGTACAACCAGCCGCTGTCTGTGCATCCAGCCTGCTGCCTGTTGAGTTTTTAGTCTCATGCCTTTAACGGTAAATGACTTGTGGAGGATTTGAGATCTGCTTCATGCCTTTGTATCTGCGCCTGCCTTTGTTGTTTTTACAAGGCTAACCCAGCTAAGCAAAATCTAACCATGCCAATTAATGTATTCGTGCCACAGAGCCTTTAAGGGTATGTCTACACCGCAGTAAAAGACCCGCAGCACGGCCACGGCTGGCCCAGGTCAGCTGACTTGGGCTCGCAGGGCTAAAAATTGCAGTGTAGACATTTAGGCTTGGGTGTGGGCTGGAGCCCAGGCTCTGAAACCCTGTGAATGGGGTGAGTCTCCAAGCCGTGGCTCCAGCCTGAGCCCAGATGTCTACACTGCAGTGTTTAATCACAGAATCCTAGAATATCAGGGTTGGAAGAGACCTCAGGAGGTCATCTAGTCCAACCCCCTGCTCAAAGCAGGACCAATCCCCAACTACATCATCCCACCCAGGGCTTTGTCAAGCTGGGCCTTAAAAACCTCTAAGGAGAGAGATTCCACCACCTCCCTAGGTAACCCATTCCAGTGCTTCACCACCCTCCTAGTGAAATAGTGTTTCCTAATATCCAACCTAGACCTCCCGCACTGCAACTTGAGACCATTACTCCTTGTTCTGTCATCTGCTACCACTGAGAACAGTCTAGATCCATCCTCTTTGGAACCCCCCTTCAGGTAGTTGAAAGCAGCTATCAAATCCCCCCCCCATTCTTCTCTTCTGCAGACTAAACAACCCCTGTTCCCTCAGCCTCTCCTGAGAAGTCATGAGCTCCATCCCCCTAATCATTTTTGCTGCCCTCCACTGGACTCTTTCCAATTTTTCAACATCCTTCTTGTAGTATGGGGCCCAAAACTGGACACGGTACTCCAGATGAGGCCTCACCAATGCTGAATAGAGGGGAATGATCACGTCCCTCGGTCTGCTGGCAATGCCCCTACTTATACAGCCCAAAATGCCGTTAGCCTTCTTGGCAACAAGGGCACACTGCTGACTCATATCCAGCTTCTCGTCCACTGTAACCCCTAGG